TCTTCACGCCTTTCCTTACAAATTACGCAGGAATTTCATGTTTCAGGTTTTGTTTCTCCGGCCCCGAAACGGGAGACGTCGCTCGAGCGGTCTTAATAGTTGTTCTTTAAGCGCCCCGTCTGAAGATCTCGTCTCTCTCTCTCTCTCTCTCTCTCTCTCTCTCTCTCTCTGTCCCAGTGGACTTTGACTGCAATTTGGCTAAAATTGTTTGCAGTGATCAGCGTCTCTGATAGCTGGACATAGGCAGTCAGTCCTCCGCATCAATGCAGTAGGTGTAACAGTTTACAAATTAAGCCATTATGGGAAAGTTTTGGCTATATTTTGGTTAAATCTGGCGCCATTTTAAGCGCCACTTGAAACAAAAAGGCCGCCAAAAATAACTTTGATCTACGAAACAACATAAAAATGCATTTTTTATTAACATAAAATGCACATTTATAAGCCAGCTGAGCAGGAGCAACTGAAGAGAGCGTGTCAAAGGGACCATTTACCAACTGGCCAAGGTCAGTTTTGGGGTCAATGGCATAACACTAGCTGACTGAGAAACATATATATGCATATATATAAATATATAGAGAGCTGGTGAGATTTTCAGAGCGCCAGCGCCAGCGCCAGTTTAGTTTGTTAGATGGATGACTAATAAGCGTCGCCACAATTAATTGAAACCCACTGATATGCATCTACCGAATGGCTCCAGATACAAGCAAATCTCATTAACGCGCCCAAGATAAAGCCACTGAATCTGTGTATCTGCAGCGGGCCCCAGGGACGAGTATCTCACCATACATTTTGTTCAGTCAAGTGTACGGGCCCGATGCGATCGTCGATCGTCGATCTGTCCATTTGTCCGTCTGTCCCATCGGTGGCATTGGCTCAGACCCACAGAGCCGCAGACTCAACTCGGAACAGATCCCATTCGAGCCTTATAAATGCATGCAGATACAGTTTTGGAAGTCAAGCGGTTTGCATTTGTACGATAAATAAAATGAATGCGATTGTTAATTAGTTGTTGCTGTAGAGCCGAAGATGCTGCTGCTGCTGCTGCTGCTGCTGCTGATGCTGATGCTTGTGGCTGCTGATGTTGCTTTTGTTGTATCTTATCGCTGGCATGGGCTTGTTTTCTCTGAGATTGACCTGGCCCAGTCAGTAGGCAAATGGAATGGAATTCGGGCATGTTGGGCATCTGCTTGGGGCATCTCATTGCGTTCTTTGAATATCAAACTTAAGCCAAGATTGCCGAGGATGCTAAGCTGAGATTATCCGGTGGAAATAGTTTTGGGCTCGGTTTTTTAGCGATTGCTTTTGGGTGTGTGTATGTTCGTTTGTACTTCGAAAGCACTGCCAGGCATTCAATATGCATGAGCTGTAGCATCTTATCGAGAGAAAACTAATCAGCTGCTCTACATAAAAATTTGTTTTGTTTTCGCCTTTTATGCTGGCGGCTAATATTAATTATAGATAATGATAAATCTATATATTAACTTATACGTACTTATAATAAACAAGAAAACTTCATCCAACACCCTACCTCATCCTCTTAAGAATAACTTATGACAGTTCCTCCGCCGTTTCGATTTTGGATCTCCTATAAAATTGAAAGGCGAATAATCTTAAGATTATAGAATAATTCATAATTATCTCAATCTTTTCATTCATAAGCTTTTGACACTGAACTTTTAATGAAAAGTTGAATTGTTGTACGCTTCTTTAGTTTTGTAAAGAAGCAAAAAATATTCATTGAAAATGTTAATAAAATCGCTGTATGTTTTAATTGCATGCATTATAACGTCATCTATTTGATTTTTGAAATTATGCATTCAAATCAATAATCCAACAATCGGACAATAATTTATGCATAATGGCAAATCAATTTTCAGTTTTGTTCGGATGCGATTTTTGTGTTGTTTAGGCAAATTCTGTAGATTTAATCTCGTGTCGACAACAATAAAATTGTGTTAATTTATGGGAAAGCCATTGGTCTGCGCTGTATCCGTAGCTTACAGATACAGATACAGATACGCGCTACTGTTAGTTGACAATGCCTGCTGATAGATAGATACAGCTACAGCTACAGATACAGCTGTAGATACAGATGAAGATACAGCTACAGCTATCAAAGCTCAACTTGTTTTTCAGTCGGTTTTTGCTGTTGCCTTCATTAAATTACGTTTAATCATTTATGCAGATTTCAATCAATGGGCAAAGCGATTTGAGATACATTTCCGTTTAGTAAAATTCAAAGTTTATTTCAATTTAACTGCTTTGATATTCAATTTGTTGCAATTAATTGAAATCTACTAAACTGACTGCCTCTAGAGATGAAAACAGCTCACGTGACATAGCACGAGGCGTTTTTGGATTATAGAATAATAGTAAAATGAAATTAAACATTCAAATATGTAAAGGTAATTACCACGTTTACACGAAGTAATCGATTACACGTTCTCGTGCTCGTTAGTGGTAAGTTTAATTCATAAATATATTAATTATGTTTCTAAAACTGAAATGAAATTTACTTAAGAATCTTCTAAAATATCAATATGTGAAAAGATATCAAGTTCCTTGAGGTATAAATTATTTCGGCTAATATTTAACGAAAAAAATTAATTGTTTTTTATTTTAAATTCTTTTTTGGATATGCCTCATTTGTTATTTTATTCGTGTAATATTTAATGTAATGCGACACGCGCTCATCTCTAGTTGAAAGTAGGCAAGAAAGTTAGTTTCAGTTTTTTTTTTTTGCTTTTTATTAAGACTATTTACAAGCTTACATGGTTCACGCAATTGAGGACACGTAAGTAATTTTTACAGCTAGAATGGCCTAGAGCCTGGCTAAAATCAACTCGTTTACTGTGTGTTTTTTACTCTCTAGTGTTAGTTAATACTTAATTGTGGACTGCAGCAAAACGTTGTGTGTTTCAAACTGTTGTTTATCACGCGAAATGGAAAGCTTTCAAATATGTTCATGACTATGCCGAAATCGAAACCCCAAATACCCGAACCCCGTCCCCCCTAGGCGAAGCCAGGGCCCCATCTAGAGGCAGGTGTTGACCTCGCGATGCTCCAGGCACTTCTCGCACGTCACCTCACAGCACCATTTGAAGACGCAGTTGCAGTTGGTCCACTCGGTAACCACACGATGCTTGTGGCCCCGACTGCAGCACAGCAGATCGCAGCTGTCTTGGCCCATCGATGTGGCATTGCATTCCCTGTCCTGCGTGCCCAGCGCTCCGGTCTTCGCGTTCGCTGTGCAAAAGTCAGCGGAATCATCCGCATAGACCAGCTGGTATTTGTTCGCCGGCTTCGTGTGCGGCGTCTCTGGCATAAAACTGTTGCCGTCGTTCCGTAGCGCCACCTTGCGCGCCCCATCGTATCTATCCCGCAGTCTTGCCGATATCTCACGAAACGGCGGCATCTTCAACCAACAGGTCTTCACTGTGCACGACCCGGACAATCCATGGCATTTGCACTCCAAACGCATCGCGTCGCGAATCGCCTGAAAGTGTGTAAGGAGTTGGTAGCAAATATCGTGATTTTAAACACTTTGATTTCTTAAAAGGCAACTACAACTAGATTTTATGATATTTAACTATTTAGATATTTTAAGCTAAAAGTCTATATTTAACTATTTTATTGTATTCGGATACGGATTCGAATCCCTTTTAATTAGCTGCATGAGAAATGTATTATTTTAATTTCAATAATAAAGCTGATACCTTAGCCTGAAATTCTGATCCGCCTAGACCTCATCGGAGCTCATATGAATAAATTTTGAAAACTGATCGGTCGATTTTTCAACCCTTTGCCTAGCTAGTTAAATTACTCTTTTCCTTCGCTTACCAGTCGCCCGGCATTGTTGTTGTGCAGCTTGACCAGGGTGCCCAGATCGCTGCGCCGCTGTCGCTGCTTGGCATCCAGGAAGGCGCGCGAATGGCGCAGCCCAAAGTTGACATTGTCGCTGCAGCCGCCCCACTCCCATTCGCCCTGCGGGAACTTAATGTTGTCCCAGAACTTGCGGCGTCCTCGCCTGCCGCCCAATCTATGGTTGTTGCGTTGCCTGCCAAGTGTAATATCCGTCATGCTGTTGCTATTGCTGATGTTGTTGTTGTTGTGGCTGCGCTGCTGCAATGGCAACTGTTGTCGCAGCAGCGCCGCCTGTTGTTGCCGTTCGAGTGCCGCCTCTGCGGTGGCCGCATTCACCATTTGCGGCTGGCCGCCATTGCGGCGCATGTGAGACTTGTCGCAGGAGCACTCCACCAGCTGGCCCATGGTGCAGGCCTTGGTCACCGCGTAGGTAACACCCGCCGCTGTTATGGCATTCACAAACCCCGTCTCACGCGAGTCTGTGAAGGAAGAGACCAGAAGATGTAATCAATAGGCAAGCAAAGTGATCATATATATACCTCTTATAAATAATATTTCTCATTGTTAGTATATAAATATATTCACATAAAAACAGTAATTATTTCCATGGGCTAACGCACAATTCGATGCCAAAAATGCTCTACCTATTATTCACCTAAACTTAAAAACGAAATTTTCTTAAAATTTTCAAGTTCACTTAAAGCATCAATCCGAGTGGATGTCTCTGAAATTACCTGAATATCATAAAGAACGTTACTGGATTAATAGTTAAAGTATTTTCAATATCTTGCTTGAGATAATTTTATATCTCAATAGTTACAATTGTTAAGTATAGTTTGTTTTAAACTCTTTCTAAACATGGAATTTAAAGTTGAATATAATTGTTTGCTATCGGGCAACTAAACCAGTTACCCGTGGTCGTGTTTAGCCTACAAAACTGAAGCAATAAATGTCATTTAATTGATTTAAGTGCTGTTTTAAATAACGATAAACGATTTAAGTTTCGATGGCAAACATCGATAATTAATCGTTTATTTGCACAACGAGCTAATGCTGATTAGGGCTGTCCGCATGTATCGTCGCATGATTGATGTCAATTTGTCAGCTTTGGTGACAAAATGATTTATTGCCGCCTCGATAACCGATCGCTGATTACTCTATGCAAATCAGAGAGTGACTCGAGCTGCGCTGTCATTGACTGCAGTGCAGTCACGTTTAATGAAATCGAAATCGCAGTTGTAATCGCACCACATCGCCCAGCGATTTGCATATGCTTGTAATGCGAGTACGAACCGAGCCGAGTGGTGTGTGTGGTGTGGATTGAAGTATAGTGGATGCGGAGCGGTGTGGACAGGTGATATGTCTTTTTGGACAGTCACCACCCCAAATGGTGCGACCGAACGGCATTACATGGCCAGTAACAGCAACAGCAACAGCAGCAGCCTTGGAGAAAAGAGTCTTCCTTCTCGATAGCTGACAGCTTGACAGGGACGCAGTTTTAATCCGCGTGGCGTGGAATTTATTGCAGATAATTTGGTATGTGTTTTGTTTGCGCATTGTTGTCATTAAGTGCAGCAGCCGAAGGAGCAGGGTATGCACCCGAGTGCCTTTTGACCATTTCGGGCAATAATTTATTAAAATTGACAGCTTTGTAGGCTCATTTCAGGCGCTATTCATCAACGGGCGCAACATTTTTATTATGCAACTTGATGGATGATGCGGTCGCCTGCCGCCTGACAGTTTGCCAGCCTCGAAGACGAACACGAAGACGAAGACTGCGACTTGGAGCTGTAATTAGGCAGCATTGCGGGCAACTCTTCACCAGAGATTTCCAGTCTGAGTCAGCCAGTCAGCCAGTCAGCGAGTCAGCGAGTGTTGACAGGCTGCCAGTTTGTGCTGCATAATAAAGCAGCGCCGTTTGGCCTTTTGTTGTCGCATGCCCCATGCATGCATCTCTAAGTGTATGTATCTGTATCTAGTAGTTGCATTTAGTTGCCACTTACCGCGCATTAAGATTTTCCTCATGCTCTTGCGCAGCACCGTGCAGTTCCAGCGGCGATTACGAAATTGAAATTCACATTCGCGGAAGCCCAGATTAATCCCATTGATGATCTCTTTGAGCAGCGCCGAGTCGTGCCGGCAGATTTCGGCCAGCTTTCCGCGTAGACGACGTGTCTTTTTGCACATTAGATTTGGATCGAGTAAAATGTTTGTGCCCTCGGCCCTGAAAGAAAGGAAAATTAGAGAACGCCTTATTCAAATTTATGTGTAAGTGCATAAGCAAGTCTGCTAGATCGATATGCGTCATAATAAATGAGTGTTTGGTAAATTAATTAACTGGCTAATGTATTATATCGATATATTTTAATGAGTGTACCTATGCATATATGTATTCAATTCCAATCATTTTATTTAATCTGCATTTATTTCTCTATATTATATAATAATTATATATTGTTGCAATAAATAATTATGATAATAATACTAATAACAATAATCATGGAATGATGTTTGCTCGAAACTTAGAACTTACTGTTTAATGCTGTTAGAGTGAGAGACAGTACATTTTAAATTCTTGAAAGTTTAGTAACGCATTTGAAAAAATATATATATAATTTTTGGGGCTCGATAAACGAATGCTGAAAAGAATTGAAAACCCAAAAATTTATATATATCTGAGAAAAATTGAACGACCATAATTATATAATTTCCACAACAAATGATTATATATCAATCGATTGTTAAACAAATTTAAGTAATTATGAAAAATAAGATGAGCTTGCTGCTTTCAGCTCTTGCATACAATAATAAAGTTTCATTTTTCTATTGATATTTTTAATTTTCTTAACAGTCAAAACTGCTAAAGTTGTTGTGTGGCGCCTAGATATGTTACACTCACATTATTCGGCTGAGAAGTTCATTAAATATAGTTGCATTTATTTATGCTGATCTGCTAAAAAGCCGCAAAACAGTTTCGTTTATTTGCATAGAATAAGGAAAACAAGGCGTATATATGGTTCGGCAGTTGAACTAAATTTCTTTTTAGTGCGGCTGATGTGGCGTATACGCAATATGGCGCATCGTTTGCTATAGATATGCATATGTGCACTCCCTACAGCTATACACACACACACACACACACACACACAGGCAGAGAGGAGACACACACACATACACACAGATAGGCACTGTGGCACACAGTTGGCAATTGGTTTGTTTATTGTTATAAGCAAAGCGGCGGCGCTCAATAAAATTGTGGCCCCACACACACACATGCACACACACATAAAAGCCGTATACACAACACCCACTTGATTTTTTTTCAGCAATTTTCTCAATCGATGCAATTTTCGTTTTCATTTTGAATGCCATTTGGAGCAGCAGCGGCGGCAGCGGCAGCAGCAGCAGCGTTAAAATTTAATTTAGCTGGAAAATTAATAATTACGTGCAGCGTACAATGTGGGTGCAGCCGTTGAGCATGCGTCGCTGCAGGGCCAACAGTTGCCTAGGGCAGGGGCTCGGGTGTGTTGGTGCACTTGGCAACCCCTGGTGCCCTCCCTGGCGCACCACCTGCCCCACTGGCTGCCGCATATGGTGCATATATGTGTCAGCCACTGGGCGGCGTCGGCGGCGTTTAAATTGTTTTTGTGTGCGCGCCTTTGGCGCTGATTTATGTTTTTCCATTTCAGATTTATGACTTTTTAATAGCTCAATTGTTTTTCGTTCGCATTTTTGTTGCTGCTGCTGCTGCTGCTGCTGCTGTTGTTGTTTTCATTTTTCCGCTCTTCACATTGCACATTCGCGTGAAATTTGCTTTGCTCGTGAACTTTGCGCAATTTAAGCTGCAAGTTTATGTTACGGGGCAGGGTAAATAAAGGCATTCGAAGCGTTTTATAGGGAACCCAACACGCCAACAGCTACTGAGAGACGGATTCAGCTCTGTGATTGATGTGCGGCCATCGGTCTATTGGTTTGTGTCAGTCTTGACCGCCCCCGTCTGCGCATCTCGCCCCTCTTTGCGTCTGCTTCCATGGAATTTGCGTTATTTTTAGCAATTAATGGGGCAATTCACAGCGCTGAGCAGCCAGCTGACTCAGCCCAACCGAGCGGGCCAAAGAAATCACTGCTTCAAAAGTAAAATCGGCAACTTCAAAATGTGCTAGACCCTCGTCTGCCCCTACACTCAAGTTAGGCATTGATGACAAAGAGCTGATATGGCCAAAGCCAAGCCCTTTAAACTTGTCATAGATATTCCGCATTTGGCTTATCGTTCGCCAATTTATGTTTAACAATAATTTCCAGTGACTAGGCCAACTGATAGACTGTGCAAATTACCCTTGTTGATAATGAAAACTTGTGCATAATGTATATATATCTATTTATATATATTTATTTTGACACCTATTTATACTGCATCCCCTTAACCTTTTCGCTGGCTAGACATGTACTATCATAGATATTCCACTAAATGCTACCTGTGGTTACCCATTTCTAATTCAGCACATTTCTCCATATAGTGCCTCAAAGGCACTTGAACAGGTTTGATGCCCCAATTTGCCCACCTGGATCGCGCAACGCTCACCTGGTGGTGGCCATGCCCTTGTCTCTGTCGCACTTACGATCTATCTTTATCTATCTATAGGTTTTGTGTGCCTGCGGCAATCACTCGATCTCAATGTGAGCCAAGAGATTATGACAACTTAATAGCTACAAAATCTTAAAAACAAATAGAGCAGACACACGCACACACCACCAAAAATATGATCCACAACAACAACAACTGAGCACTGGGCCGCCAAAAGTCAAGCAGCAAAGAGCATAAATGATAGACGCGCTTGTAAACACCACAACAATAACAAGAACAACATTGAGTTAAAACAATTGAAGTTCGCTGGCAAACGATGATGATGAGATCGCAATGATTCGGATCTCGAAGTCGATGCGCTGATGACTGGAGAGATCTAAAGAACTCAAAACTCAAACACCTTTCAAGCGTGCAGAGCGCGTAACCACACAAGTTGCCAGTTGCCAGTGCCAGCAGACAACAACAACAACAACAACAACACTATTGAACACTAACAACAACAAACACGGGGAGTTTTGGTTAAGCGGAAAATAGCCGAGGCCGATATGAGGATGATGCTGCCGATGTGGCCGACTCGCAGTCGTCCGTTCGACACTTTTTGGTTTTTGAAGTTGAAGTTTGCTTGGCAGCAGCCGCAGCAGCGGCCGGCAGCAGCAGCAGCCGGCAGCAACGGGCAGCGACGCCAGCAGCGCAGCTGTCGGCAACTTGAAACAACTAAACAACTTCAGTCTGCCAGTCCCAGGTCCCAGTCCAGGCAACTTCCAACTGGCAACTGGCAACTGGCAACAGGCAACACTTGGCCGCGACGTATCTTTATTTTGCTTTCACACAACCGAGAGAAGCGAAGCGATTCCAACTCCAAGTGTGCCCCTATTGCAGTTTGTTGTTGCTGCTGTTGTTGTTGTTGTTGGTGTTGGTGTTGGTGTCGTTATAGGCCTCAATGGATTTTCAGTGATTTTTTTCTTTGATCAAAGTGCCCGGTTTGATGGTAGCCACTGACAAGTGGTTGAAATTTCCCATACCCAACCCATGCCACGCCAAACCGATCTACCGCTCACCGCTCTCTCAGCTGTGTTCTACTCTAACCTGAAGGGCGTTTTAACTGACATGCTTTGTTTGTCACAAATACTTTGAAAACAGCTAAAACGAATTATTGAAAAATGTCCAAAAATTGGTTTTCAATAACAGATTTCATAATATTTAAAATATTTAATAAAAATAAGTCTTAGTTTAGCTGGCTCGTAGTCCGATAATAATGATAAAAATATTGAGATAAGGCATGGAAATGAGACTCTTTCTCAATATTCCCCTCACAATGGATACTGTAATCTAATATTTCTAATATATAGACATTTGATCATGAATTCATTTTCGTTCTTTTTCTTCTACCTTTCTAAGACAGCCGTTATTAGAATCACTTAAGGATGTAGAGATTTAAATTCTTTTCAGGGCATTTGAAATTCGTCATGGTCATATCGTTTTCCCTCTTGTTTTCTATGTAAATAGATAGTCACAATGGATGCAACTTCGTTTGATTGACTCATTTTCGTGAGTCGCCGTCGCCGTCGCCGTCGCCGTTGCTGTCGCTGTCGCCGTCGCAGTCGTCGCCAGTTGGCATCTCCGGCGGTTGTCCGTGCAGCATACCCTCGCGGATTGGAGGTGCCACTGACTGCGCCGAGTGCGTTGCAGTGTAAACAAATCAACGACTTAAACCACTTGTCAACATGCGAGTGGCAAAGTATTTAAACAAAGCGTTGACAACTGAATGAATGGCTGGCCGCTCGTTCAGTTGGCCAACAGATCGTTTGGGCCGCTTTTTGGCCGCTGGCCGCGTTGGCCACTGGCAAGTCAAGTGCTGTTGTGGCTGGTCAGTTTTCAATTTACGCGCACAAATATTTGTCCACAGAATGCCTCAGCGCAAGTGCTGATCTCTTGTGCACACACAACTGGACAAAGGGGCAGCCGCTGCAGCCAGTCGACAGCGGTTGCGGAGTGGCTGGCGTTTGATGTGGGCGGCGGCATTGACAATTGATTAGCCAGCCAGCGGCTACTGCCAAAGGCAGCAATGCAACCAAAAGGTGTTGACATGAGTTAGAGGCGGCTCAGATCTGGTCTGGTCTGGTGGGCGCGGCTCTGGCGCGGGCTCTACGTGTGTGGGCGTTTTAGTCGCGCGCTGCTTTTTGGCACCTTCAGAATGTTTGTCATTTGGCAATTAGCAAATTAACATGTACCACTGTGTGCAGGCGCCGCCTTTTAACCAAAAAAAAAAAAAAAAACAATGCCTGCCGATGACAATCATCCTGTTGGAATGCGCTTCGTTCGTTCCCAGGCTCTGGGACATGCGCATGTCCAATTGTCGCCAGGCTAGCTAATAATTCAGGCATATTTACTATTTGACTGGCCTTTGTCAGCCGTTTAACAAGCTTAAAGCCCTAGCAGAGCTCTGAAAGATCTGACAGCCACGACTCGCTGCTGCCCCAAGACAAAGACGACATCAATCTTTTGGTGCTTGGCGCGCGCAAATTGCGACAACGTTTAACTTAATTATGGCGCAAATAGGCGTTGCCACATAGACGCGCACATGACCATGTCCAGGCTGCAACTTTGCTAAATCACGTGTTAAAGGGCCAGAACTGTGAGAAAACTCTGGACTTCCTTTAAGCTGTGCCACAAATTTATGTGACATTAGATAAATGTGTGCAAGCGCTATGATGTAGCGTTAATGTGACTTATTCTCAATTTAATGGG